CTATGACTGTATAAATAGTAAATGAATAGTAAAAGTAGCAGCAGGGTTGATTAGGGATTCACAGGGGGTTTTATACCTGGAGGCAGGGGTCATGGCTGAGGTGTTAAACAAATAATTTGCATCTGTCTTTATCAAAGAGTGAGATGTTACCCAGGCCATGGTGACAAAGGAGGGAGCTCAGTCACTAAAATGGTTCAAAATTGTTTGGGCCAAAGTGTCAGATAGACTATTGCTACTCAAAGTTGACATGGAACTGGAACCAGATGCAATGCATTCAATGATTTTGAAGAAAGTGAGAGTGGAAATTACAGGGGCACCGGACACAATCCTTCAGTCTTTCCTACACTCGGGCAAGGTGATGGAAGAGTGGAAAATTGCAAATGTTCTGTTAAGAAAGTTTGTAAGGATAATCTCAGCGATTCCGGTGGTGGGGAAGCTCGTAGAGGCAATTATTCAGGATACAGTTAGTTACATGGATAAAGGTGGGTTGATTAGGAAGACTCAACATGAATTTCTAAAGGTAATGGTCATCTTTAACTAACTTGCTGGAGTTATTTGAAGAAGTAACAGGCACAATGATGGTAATGCTGTTGGCCTGGTATACATGGACTTTCAGAAGACGCTTGATACAGTGCCACAGAACAGACTTGTGAGGAAAGTTATAGGTTACGGTATAAAAAGAATACTAACATCAGAGATATAAAGTTGGCTGAGTGATAGGTAACAGATGAATCAATGGATATTTTTTTGGCTGGAGCAAGGTTTAGTAGTGCAATTATCCATGGGTCGATGTTGGGACCCTGGCTTTTCCTGATATATATTAATGATTTGGATCTTGGTGTGCAGGGGGCAATTTTGAAGTTCATAGATGACACAAAGCTTCAAAGATTTGTAAACTGAGAGGAAGACAGTGCAGAGGTCTGCAACTTATGTAGATAAGTTGATGAAGTGAGCAGATACTGCAGATGTGTTTCAATATAGAGAAGTGTGAAGTGATGAATTTTGGTAGGACAAACATTGAAAGACATTCTAAAATAGGGGTGCACTTCTAAGTGGGGTGCAATAGCAGAGGGACCTGGGTGTATATATACACAAATCATTGCAATTGGCAGGATAGGTAGAAAGAATGGTAAGTACACAGTATCTTCAGCTTTATTAATAGGAACATAGAATATAGAAGCAAGGACGCGATGTTGAACTTGTATAAGACACTTGATAGACCTCATCTGGAGTATTGAATACATTCCTGGATGTCACATTATAGGAAGGATGTGAACACATTGGAGAGAGTGCAGAGGCACTTTGTAAGAATGGCTTCAGGATGAGGATCTTCAGAAATGAGGATAGATTGAAGAAGTTGGAACTGTTCTCCTTGCGGAGAAGAAAACTGAGAGGAGATCACTTGGTGGTTTCCAAAATCATGAGTGGGCTCGATAGAGTAGATAGGGAGAAACTGTACCCACTTGTAAGAGAAACAAGAACAGGATGGCACAGAGTTAAAGTGATCTGCAAAATAAGCAAGTGTGACGTGTGGAAAAGTTTTTCACTTATCAAATTGTTAGAATATGGGTGTTTATTTGGATAAAAATAAGGTTCAAGGCTATGGGGAAAGAGCAGAACACAGCACCAGGTAATGATGATCATTTAACAAGCCAATGTTGCACAATGGGCCAAATGGCCTCTTCCTGTGCTGTAACACTTGTGTTTCTGAAAATATGTGGAAGAAAGAAAATACAAAATATCTTTACACAAAATAGGAAAAGGGTCAATTCAAATTTAAGGTTAAAACAGAAACAAAGTTTAAAGTAAAACCTAACCATTTTTTAAGTTATTTAATGACATTCTACACATTCATAATTTGCCTAGTATTTGTATTTAGTTGGGCTTTCGATATATGAGCATGAGGTAAGCTGGATAAATCACATTGAGGGCACAATGATGATTGCCTGTTTCTCATATCCAGACTGAAGGGTAGAACATGGTGGCTGACTACTACACCTTTTCATCTGCTATATGAATTAAGATTATATGAAATATACTCATTATTAAAATGTATCCAGAGCTGGAGTTTCACTTTTGTCGTTTTATGAAATTTCGAGTTTACTGCCTGTAAAGAATGTATTTCACCTTCAACAACACAACAACAAAAACAAAGTTGCTAGAAAAACTCAGCAGGTCTGGCAGCATCCTGAGGAAGGGTCACCAGACCCGAAACGTTAACTCTGAATTTTCCTTCACAGATGCTGAGCTTTTTCAGCAACTTAGTTTTTGTTCCTGGTTAACAGCATCCGCAGTTCATTCGGTTTTTATTATGTATTTTACCTTGTTCCTCTGGTGACATTTATTTGGAAAGTAATAGGTCGTCTTTCCAGCAGAGGGAGCCATTGACTGCAAATTAAATTTTACGGCACAAAACATACCAGTGACAGCACCTTGAAATGTGTATCCACTTTGTCCGTTTCCTCATGCCTTGCTCACGCCTTTCTACAATATTGGAGAATTTCGTAATCAGGTCCTACTTGGTTAGTGCAGTGAATTATTTTGAGTTTGGGATAAGGCAAATAATTGCATGAGTCTTATTTTTTTTCAGTCCTATTTTCTATTCTCACTTCTGTCGCAGTTTCTCCTGACAATAATAATCAATCCCTTATTTTAATCTTTCATAGAACGTGGACATCAGTGGCTACGGCAGCATTTACTGCCTATCCATAATGGCTCTTGAGAAGATAGTGGTGAGCTGCCTTCTTCAACCAGCATAGTACTCAGGGTAAAAGCACACCCACTGTGCTATTTTGCTCCAGTGACTGTGAAGGAATGGTGAGACAGATCCAAGCCAGGATGGTGTGTGACGTGGAGCAGCATTTGCAGGCTGTGGTGTTCCCAGGCATCTGCTGCCCTTGTCATGCCGGGTAGTTAGGGTTACTCTCTCATTAGAGAAACAATTGGTGGTGGTTTAACCTGAGGGTCACTGCACCTGAAAGGTAAACTCTGCTTTCCTTTTGCAGATACTGCCAAGTTTCTCCAGCAATTTTTGTTTTTGTTTCAGTTTCAGATTTCTAGTATCTGCAGTATTTTGTTTTATTACAATAGAGATCACAAGTTTGGAAGATTAAAGACACATATACACTCTCTCTATCTCACACATTCTCTCTCTAGCTCTCTCACAGGCACTCTCTCTCACTCTCTCTCTCTAACACACATGCACACATTCTGTCTCTCACACATACTCTTTCTCCCTCTCACCCACATTCTCTCCCTACCTCTCTGACACACATTCTCCATCTCAAGTGTTCTGTGTCTCTCCTTCTCTTTGTCTTTCACACACACGCTCTCACACTCACTCTCTGACACCCACACTGACTCTGTCTCTCTCACACACACACTCCCTACTGCTAGTTTGTTCTCTCTCTGACTCTTGTGCTCACACATTTACACTTACATTTTCCTACTTTCTCCTGTACTCTATTTAATGTCTCTTAGATCGAGGTCTGTACTTCCTTTCCTTTATTTGTACTTTCAAAATCTGTCACAGCACATTTCTTGACCTCGAATTATATTAAACAAATCTCTAATCTTTCCTACATCCTACTAGCTAATGTCCTGTCATGTTCTTTCACAACTGGCACAAGCTGACTCACTCACTCACTTCCCGGTGCTGGGACATTTGGGGACTAATATGAATGAGGAGGAATTTGGTGAAGGTGATGACCCTTCAGCTGCCTTAAGCTTTGCTGTAGCTGCAACAGTTGCTTGGTTCCTCGATTGCTCTGTGATTGTGATGTAGGGACAGCTCCCACAGGATAAATTAATATTTTGAAGGATATTCTTGAGGTTTTTTCAAAAGCCTCTTTTTCTTTTTAATTATTTGTTACACAGAAGGAGCTGGAGGTGTAGACGAGAATCATAGAATCCCTTTAGTGCAGGGAGAAGCCTTTTGACCCATTGAGTCTGCACCAAGCCTCTGAAGAGCATCCCACCCAGACCCAGACCCTATCCCTGCAACCCTGCCTCACCTATGTCTTACCCACCTAACCTGCACATCGCTGGTCACTACGGGGCAATTTAGCATGGCCTATCCACCTAACCTCCACATCTTTGGACTGTGGGAGGAAACCTATGTGGACATGGGGAGAACATACAAACTCCACACAGACAGTTGCCCGAGGGTGGAATTGAACCCGGGTCCCTGGCACTGTGAGGCAGCAGTGCTAACCATTGAGCCAACATGATGCAGTCATGTACCTTCTGCATTTGTGTTGACCTTTGACATTTCTGGACTTGGACTGGAGGAGAATGAGAAGAATTCATTAATGTTCTCAATAATTATCACCCACCTCTCTTGCAGCAACCACCTTCCTTCCCCACCTCCAGCACCCTCCTTACCGCCCAAACATTCTGCAGCCTCTTCTCTTCTATCATTCACCTTGCAGTCCCCTCTTCACTCCTTCAGACTCCTTGTCCCTTCACCCCTTCTGCTGCTTCCATCTCTTCCCCCACCCTTCTTAAGTTCTTTGCTTTTTGCAATAGCCTTAGTAGGGACATCGGCACATCTTGTTTCTTCTGCCTCCCTCACTCCACGTATCAAAGTTAATCATCCAATCAATTTTGTCTCCTCTGTTTCTACCCTCCGTTTCTCTTTTCCTTGTCACTGGAAGAAAGCTGTTTGTTCATCACTTCCAGTGTCTGAACTTGGCTCGCCTTTTTGATTTATTTCCTTGTTTTCTTGCCAATAGACAATCGATTGGATGGTGACGGTGTATGATTTTACAATACTTCCATTAAATAGTCCATGATCATGGCCCAATAACAGCCAGAATTGAAAGGTGAATTTTACCCTGTCAATTTAGTTTAGGTTCAAACCTGAAAGCCAGAGGAGGTAGGATGATGACAGATCAGTTAATTCACCACTTGGTCCCATCCTGCTGTTTATTTGAATTTGACTGTTTTTGACTCTTTAATCATGGAAAGTTGATTCGGCGTGTCCTCCAATCTCCAACTAGGTGATGTTGTCCAATCCAGTCCTGGAAAATGCAGTCAATGTGGAAGCTGTAGAGATGCTGAGGGAAAACCCAGCACGTTATCGAGAAATGATTTTGGAATGTGTTAGAACCAGCAGACAGCTTAATGAAAGTAAGATCTTTATTGTCATAAATCTCTTAAATATTTATATAGTGAAAATATAACCCATGTAAACTGTCTAGCTGCCGGGTTTTTATATATGTGAAGGAGCATAAAACTGAGTAAAGGGAAGGAACGTCATTTCTGAACTTAAAATTAAGGGCATCTTTTAAAAATGCCAAGGAGTAGCTTGTGGCTCAGTTGATGTGTGAAACTGATCAGTACTGACCAGCAAGATCCCAGGATTGATCCTCGGTTCACTTTTGTTAGTGGGCTTGAGCTGCTGTGGGTTACATAAGGGGAAAACTAACCAGCACTGTTATTAATTATCATTATTAGAGGTCCCTAACTGGAAAATGCATGTGCCTCTGCTGGGGACAGTTTAGATTTGGGTGTGCTGTTCAAAAGAGCAAATATCAATGATATTCATTTTCAGAAATTCCACTTGACAGAGGTCATGGAAAGGCTTAAGGAAAACGGAGAGAAATTTGATAGAGGAGAAAGTAAATATGTCTCAAAAATAAAACAAATGGGATCTTCAGTTCTAATGTTGCTTTTTGCTCTCGCCCTCAAGCAAGAGATTTAACCGATTGCCTCATTCTCGCCACCTCTTACCTTTAGATTGTCCTTCTCTAACTCTCCCTTCTTTTAGTGAAATCTTCTCTCTTTTTAAATTCAACAATGTTCATTCCATTTAATATCTATAACAAACCAGCCAATTCCCAACAGTTGCCTGATTATATCTCTTACCTCCCCATTTCCAAGGAGGATTGCTTTCTCTCTGGCTTATCCATGTCTATCATTAAGTGCCGTGATTATGCCATCTCCAACTCAGGAACTTCCAAACGATCCTCCTCGTCCCTTAGACAAGTGCTCCTTTTTACACTGCAGACAAGATCTTCAATGGCGACCATCCTACTTTCCATGCAGTTTCTGCTGTGTCCAACCTCTACAGTGAAACATTCGACCTTGTTCCAGTCTTCCATCAAACCAGACACCACATCCGACAGAGACATGTTATCTTTTCACCGCCTCCAACATGATCCCAATCAGAAACGCTTTCCTTGAGGAAGAGTCAGTCTTGTGGTGGGATGTGCTCAAAGAGGGGAAAGGGGTAGATGGAAAGAAACTAGGGAGCATTGGGCTTTCAGAGGTGGTGGGACGAGGATTGGAAGGTTTGATTTTGATTGTTTTGATTTTATTGTCACGTGTACTCAAGTACAAAAGTACAGGAGTACAGTGAAAGGTGTCAAATGTCGCCATTTGAGGCGTCATCTTAGGTACAGGTAAGATTGGTTTGGTTTAGTAGGCAAGGAAATGGGGGAGAGTCAGACAAGCAACTGAATGATTCAAGCTCTTTAGACTTGTTACACAGTCAAAGTAGTGGAAGAGGGCTTAAAGAATAGGTTGGTGTCAAAGGCAGACCTGTTAATGGATGACTGTGCCAGGTATGCTGAAGCTTCTGATTCTTAGATTTAAGGCCCCATTGTTTTCTTTCTTCTGTGGGGGTTGGGGAATGGAATGGATGAAAATGAGCCCCCATCCAGGTTTCCACCCTTGATCCTTATCCTGTGAATCCAGAAGGAAGATTCATATCAAAGAGGATTTAGTAAAATCGTGATCACCCCCACACCAACCCCAGTAAGATTACCCGCTGACGTTTATACTCAAGGCTTATGCTTGAAAGTGGTCTTGTTGGCAGGTATTAAAGAGCTCTGAGTGCTGGGAAAAGGCTAGCCCATATACCTCTGAGAAGAACTCATCTATTCATTGAAAATAATGTAAATGAGATAGGAGCTGCAAGGAGAGAGATTTAGGGGTATACGCACTCACAAATCATTAAATCATTAAAAATATCAACACAGATGTTGCTGGGAATGGAGGGTTTGAGTTATAAGGAGAGGCTGGATAGACTGGGACTTCTTTCACTGGAACGTAGAGATTGAGGGGGTGACCTTATAGAGGTTTATAAAGTCATGGCAGATATAGATAAAGTGAATGTCAGGTGTATTTTCCCTAGGGTGGGGATTTCAAGACTAGTGGACATATTTTTAAGGTGAGAGGAGAAAGATTTAAAAAATATGAGGGGCGACTTTTTTATATACAGAGTAGTTCATGTGTGGGACAAATTTCCAGAGGTAACCGTGAATATGGGTACAAATACAACATTTAAAAGATGTTTGGATGAATACATGAAAGGGAAAGGTTTGGAGGGATATGGGCCAAGTGCAGGCAGGTGGGACAAGCTTAGTTTGGGAACATGGTCGAAATGGATTGGTCGCACTGTATGACTCAATCACTCTAAGACAGGAAACAAATGCCGAGATGGTAGCAGTGGGAGAGAACTGCAAAAGGTTGTAAATGATACAGAAGGAATGCAATTATGACAGGAGGAATTTGCACACTATAGTTAACATGCAGATGTAGAATACATATACATTGCATCTGGCTATTATAGACCAGCTCCTCAGTATTGGTACAAACTTCACAGTTGGCATGCTGGAAGTGGGAATGATGTTTTTCAGGATTTTCATCTGGCACCTTAGTTCAGATTTTGGGGAAAAGGAAAAATAATGTGACATAGTTGGTTCTTTGTATTGAGACTGGCATCTCTCAAGTTTACCTTTGTCCCTCAACAGCTGGAGTTAAGTTAGAAGTGGAGAATTTTCCTGTGACCCATTTTGAAGACCAAGTTTCCACACCACCTTGCGGGAAGCCACTAACGTGAGTAGATAAATAGAATCCACATTTGGATATTCTATACCCATAGAACTGGGTTCATCTCATGAAACCATAATAAATTTGATGAAACAAGAATACTCATGGATACTATATTTTCTGGTAACCACCAAGAACCTCTGAATACATATTTTAAATCCCCATTTTTACAGTAAGATTTTTGTTTTGATTTTCATCATTTTTGTCTTCTATATTTAGGAAAGTGCATTAAAAACGTTCTTGGATTAATGTTGTAAAATAATTTTTGCTAAAACAAAATGAAAATAACTGAACATGCTAATTCAGTGAGAAGCTGAATGTAATTGAAATACTTACAAGATGTTGGCAAAGGAGCAAGAGCTGAAAAAATATAATAAATAGGAACATACCAATTACAAACACACAAATTTAGCCTACTCATCCATTTAATAAAATCATGGCTGATCTAATTACGCCCTCAAATCCAGATCCCTGCCTTTCCTGATAACCTTTTACTCCCTTGTTAGTCAACAATCTATTCCACCTCTCCTTTAAAAGTATGTAATGACCCTGCCTTCAATGCTGTCTGGGCAAGAGAGTTAAATTCCAATGGTTTCTGACACTGAGAGAAAAAAATTTCTTCTGCTTCCACCTCCTGAATGGGAGACACCCCCTTTTTCTTTTAAATTGTATCACCTGGATCTAAACTCTCTCACAAGGGAAAACATCCTGTCAGTTTCCACCTAGTCAAGTGCCTTCTGCATTATAGATGTTTCAATAAAACCATGTCTCATCCTTCTAAAATCCAATCAGTACAGGCCCGGCCTATTTAATGTTTCCTCATAAGATAACCTCCCCATCGTAAATATCAGTCAAGTGAATCTTCACTTAACTACGTCTAATGGATTTTAATTCTTTCTTAAATAAGTAGATCGAACTGTACACAATACTCTAGATGTGGTCTCTCCAGCATTCTACACATCTGTAGCAAGACATCCTTACTTTTATAATCTATTCCACTTCCCTTCCAGATCAAATGCGTACTAACATTTTGTGTTTCATGTACCAACACATCAGATTTCTGTCTGTCTCAGAGTTCTGCAATTTCAATTTGGCAATAAATAATAAGCTGCTTCTTCGTTCTTCCTGCCAAAGTGGCCAAGTTCATGTTTTCTCAAATTATACTCCATCAGTCAATTTCTTTACCCATTCCCTTCACCTATCTATACCCTTGCAGACTCCTGTGTCATCTTCACAACCTACTTTCTTACCTATTTTTGCGTTGTCAGCAAATTTAGCAAGCATATACTCAGTCCCTCTATCTGAGTCACTTACATAGATGGTTAAACAATCAAGGCCCCATGGGGCACCACTCGTTGTGGCACATTACTCACCACATCTTGCAGGGCCTGAAAACATTATGCCCTCCCTCAGCTTCCTTTTTGCCAATCATCTTCTATCCATGGTAATATGTCACCTCATCCACCACGAGCTCTTATTTTGTGCAATACCTCATCAGTTGCCAAGTTGGGAAAATAAGGTGAGATCAGCAGTAAGGCGATCCTTGATGTCAACAGCAAGAAGTTCCACTTTCCAATCAAGTGTTGAATGGCAAGACATGGATCTGGCTAATGAGAGGTCCAATTGCATGTATTAGCATACATTAATATCTCATTATGAGTTAATCTTCTCACATTTATATGCACTATCCTGTTTTCTCACCCATTGGATAGAGACAAGATGGCAACAATTCCCCATTCCAAACGCAGAACTGTTACTTGGCTCCTCTGACCTTCCAGCTTGGACCGCAATCAGAAAAAATTCGAGGCATAGTCCATGGGCATGCACCCTTGTCTACAGATATTGGTATTGGCCATATACCAGCCTCACACACACTCTCATGGCACATCACTAATCCAACTGCAAGACAGTTCTCCACTTCAACGCTGCACTTTGAATCACACTGGCACCTTTCAGTGCAGCTGCTGCTGCTAAGACATTTTGCACACCGGAACAAGAATCAATCTCATTGATTGGACTAGGTGCATTTGAGGGCTCCTCATGTGCTCTCCTAGTGAGCACTCACATTTTATCTACTTGAATGCTCAGGGCATTGCCCTACCCTGCTTTTCTGAATGTTTCCCCCGCAGCCAGAGCTTAAAGGCTCACAGTACTTCTGTCTCCGCTTGCCTTTTAGCTTGTCACGGTTGTCAGCAGTCATTAGTGAAGATGGTGGGCATGTTGCTGTATGGCACCATGCTATGTCAATCTCACCCACATGTGGCGCCAGTAACAAACACACTATGTGTGTATCATCCAAATGGCCATGTCTCAAAGTCTGAGGGCAGTCATCCTCAGTCAAGATAAGGGAGATATCGTCAGTCAGGGCATACAGGCACAGTAAATCAAGGACAACCTCTGATATCAGTCCATGGAACATGGTCAGACAGTCGCATGAGGTGATCAGGGTCATTGCGTTCATACCTCTATTCAAGAGAGTGGGTCATGGCCAACTGTCTGCATCTAGCCTAACCAGTCCCAGAGAGTTGTGGGAAGACTGAGGAGTTATACAGAAATGTGTGGGGTCAGTTCACTCATCAGTTTGGACTGTCCTTCCAATTCAATCAAGGGTATGTGGCTGGAGAAGACAAAGGAGAGAGTCCATCATGAGCAAGAGGCAGACGTTTGGTCATGTTAAGAGTACATTCACTGTGGTAATAATGGGACAGCAGCACAGCAAAGGGCAATGTTTCTGAATTGGTTGCTGCGACCTGGTGGTTTCGGCATTGCCACTTGGGCAGTCAAGGTCCTTAAGTAGCAGGACCTTCTCGTCAGAGGTGAGAAACTGAATGTCAGGCACCCACCACCCATCTTGGCTCTCTTCACCCTAATTAGAGCTGTTTTTTTCCTGAAATGAGGGAAAATGAGGGACTGAATGAGCTAAAAGTGGATTAATGCTGGTGCATGTGCGGAGAAGGTGGTAAAGCTTTTCCAAGTGAGTAAGGGGAGGCAATGGCCGAGTGGTATTATCACTAGACTGTTAATCCAGAGACCCAGATAATGTTCTGGGGACCTGGGTTCGATTCCCACCATGGCAGATGGTGGAATTTGAATTCAATAAAATATCTAGAATTAAGAATCTAATGATGACCATGAATCCATTTTCGATTGTTGGAAAAACCCATCTGGTTCACTAATGTCCTTCAGGGAAGGAAACTGCCATCCTTAACTGGTCTGGCCTACATGTGACGCCAGACCCACAGCAATGTGCTTGACTCTTAACTGGGCAATAAATGCTGCCTAGCCAGCAACACCCTTATCCCATGAATGAATGAAGAATAAAGGAAGGAGGAAGCACAGAGACTGTGGAGGGAGAGGAAGGATGAGAGCAAGCAATAAAAGATGTTGCATGCAACGGTGGGAGGGGTATACTATGAGCCTAGCTGGGAGGTAGGTGTAGTAGCAGAGATAGTGTATATGAGGTAGTAGAGAGAATATAATGGCATTTACCCTTGTGCAGCAGAGAAGGTCATTGACATTGTATTGTTGGGCATTCCTCCAAACTGTGGGTACTGCACTGATCCGGATGGCAACCATGGTCCAGGCTGGCAGGGCCTACTGGTCCTGGGGGAGAAGGACAGCACCTCATCTGCACCAACCCATCCACCAAGACCTCGAGGTCCCTATCGGCACAGTTCCCTCCATTGAGTATGTTTAGGACAATTCACATGAACCATGTGGGGCAACTCCAAGCCTGCTAGTGCTTGACCTGGTTCACAAATGTGGTTTAAATATGGGGAAACCTGAACCAGGAATCTCGGGTAGTGCCATCAATGGGGAGTATTGCCGCCTGTGGCGAGAGAGGTGCCATAGGTATGTGGTGTGTAGGTAATGAGATGAGTTTGGTAAGATAGAGCGAGGAACCTCACTGAACCTCATGTACAGAAACCGTCCATGAATTTGACAAACCCTGTCCCGACAGCTCAAACCTTCCAACCCGAGCAACATCGGTGTAAATCTTCACTGAACCCTTTCAAGTTTCACAACATTCTTCTTAAACAACTTCGGGTCAAATTCAGCCCAATTTCTATTAAGGCACATAAAAGCAAATTAAACAAAGAGAAGGTATGCATGTTTAAGAGAGAGCAAGTAAAGTAAAAGGGACAAAAAGAAATGTAGGAAAAGAAGTTTCCATTCTCCAACAATCATTCAAATCTGACATAAAGGGAACAATTTATTCGTACCATGCTGCTAACAATATAGTTGTTCTCCAATTAACAGTACCACATTTTTTGTTGTATCTAGAGGGTATCTATCATGTAAGTATCAACATTTCATGTCCATGCATATATTTCAACATCTCTCAGTGGGCTCTAGAATAACAGATTTATATTTCAATATTGGCGACCTTTGTTAACCTCACCAGTATTTCTGCAGAGAAAAATGATTAATTTTTAATCCAATATTCATCTACTCCCCTTTCTAAAAGAATGGATACAATTTGCTGAAAGTTTCCTCACTTGAATGTCAGGAAAACTGGCTAAATGTTGATTAGCGAAATAGTGACTGGTATTTATTAAGATTTTATTTGATTACAGCATCATTTCCACAATAATCTTTTCAGAACTGCATATCTGTGAGTTCTGGACATATGATCTAATTTTTAAAAACTCCTGAAGCTTGTCTCCATATGTTTATTATTTCTGACGCTCAATGGCTTTTCCTTAAATCTCTCAAATTTTAACCTATGCTGAGGGTTACGAGGTCTCCAGATTTCTTTTGCATTCTCTTATTCAAATTGTTGCCTGGGGTTAATTGTGGTTTGCAGAAAAGAGAATAATCATTGAAGTGTATGTTAACCATTCAAGCACCACCATTTGAGTGATGTTGCAATCATTCAACACTTGAGGGATGTGGGATCTTTCTTATGGTGTAATGTCATTGTTAAGTGGCACTTTGAACTATTAACCCATGGGAAAAATGCATTTTTTTCAAAAGAAGATGGACTTTTTTTGAAAATTTCCCAT